ATTAAGCCACACACAATGCTCACACAGGTCTATAACAAAGCACACAGTCACAGAGTCTCCTACAACAAACATCAGTAGGAGAATGAGTGATTCTACAGAAGAGGTTAGTGACTTTCCACTTGGCACCATCATAGGATGGCATCTTTCCAACAAGTGAGTTTGTCACATTTCTGCCCTGTTATTACTACCCTGGTGAACCACAACAATGTAGTTGTGAAGGTTAAAATGTCTAGGTTCAGTTCAGTTGTGAAGCCACAGACCACAGAAAACTCACAGGAAGGATCACCCAACAGATCACCAAACTTCAATACCCATGTTGAAAGACAGCAAATCCCATGAGCAATGTTTCAACATCTAATGGAAAGCCTTCCCTGAAGAGCAGAGGCATTATAGCAACAATGCACAGACCAACTTCATATCGATATCCTGAGTTTCATAATGGGATGTTGGCGAGGCTGGTATTCATATATTTTTGGCCACATAGTGCATCTTCCCCAACTGTAACTGAAAATGTATACATTATATATATGTAGTGCATAAATGTAAATTATTAACATATAGTTTTGTTGTTATAGGGACGGCACTCATGGTTAACAGATCAACTGGCACACTATGAAACAGCGATATAGTAACATCAACATTAAACAGTTTCACTAGGTGACAAAAGACCAGACTTGGCAGCAATCAGCTATACTTAGTGAATTGATTTTTAAATACAGCCAAGCATGTTTAGAGAATACTTGTAGAGCCGACAGATAATTGCATTGTTTGTAGTTCTTATTCGCCTATGGATGTGTGAGAACTGACTTGTTTTTTTGAGCATGTTAGCTGGGGACGTATTTTGGCTTGCTTCCTTACAGGTAATGTCTCTAATTTCCCTGAGCTTAAACAGGGTTATAAGACCTTGCATTATGAATGAAAACATCATATGTTCAGGAAACTATGAACTGTTTGAGCTGCAGCCAGAGGAAATTCAATGTTCAAAGGGGAATTTCTTCAAAATTACATAATGGCTTGTATTGTCCCTTATGTTTTCAGACACTGGAATTCACAACAAAGACTTGCAACAAATAAGGGAAATCCAAATAAAGACCTGCTGCTGTGTGAAGAAGTCTTTGACAAGAGACCCCATGATCTGCTGAGGTGACTTTGCTGTGCATATGAGTGGTGTAACCAGACTGCCCAAGACCCGCTCTGCATAGCGAATCCATCCTGCAGGGAAAAACACACACAAAAAAAATACAGGCATGCAGTAAATGAGACCAGAGGTTTTGTGAGAAAGTGTGGAACACAAACTGGGGGCAGAGATGTCTTGCAGCGTGACGGCATTATCTTCCAAAGGACAGACGTGAACCTGCCCCACCAAGCATATCTCTGATCCTCAGGACCCCAGCGCTATCTCTGAGCTGTGCATTACCTTCCAGCAGCTCTGTGCTTATGCTAATTTAAAAAGCAGCTTTGGGGGCTGTCTGGCTTTCAGTAAGCAGCTCATCTAAACCAGAGAGACACAAGGACATTCTAGTAATAATTAAAAAAGACTCAGTACAAAAAATGTGGACTTTGACAAGACAGCACTGCTTTCAAGCTGATTGTGCTCAAGTATTGAGTGATAACTGGGTGTTCAGCTGTAATACAGTCTCAGGCTCCTATTGTATGACTAACAGCAAAATCAAAGCAAATTCAGTTAAGCTAATCAAAAATGGCATGTTGAACAAATTCAGTCTCAACGGGGAAACGGCTTAAATTCAGCATTTAATCAGGCCTGATAACATCTAAAGAAAGGTGGATGAGCAAATCTGGGATGCTTCAAGGAAGCAGAGTGAACGTCAAAACACCTACAGAATATATCTTGTGTGTGTTGGCAGTCTGAAACCATTTATTCTATGGGGATATTTGAGAGTGACGGCTGACCTGGACAAGATGAGGTAAACATGGGAAGAGCATTGCTATCATGGTGCCTGCGCCGGAACCTCTGAATAAAGTCCTTCTGGCTCTCCAAGATGCTGAAGCCAGCCGCCACCGTGGTGTCAAAGACATAGTGCACACCTGGGAGAGAAATGGGAAAATTGGTGACTCACATTCACCTGCAGGAAAGCTCGCACTCCTACCCACACAGAGAGCAGCTGAGCCATTGTAAAGCCTACATTATCCATAGTAATTATACTGTCCTTTAGGTTAAATACAATACCAGCACACAGATATAGAATAACACTGCAAAAAAGGGGAGTTGATACTACCAACCCTGGCCTATTGTGTTGCTAATTTAATTCCCCCACAGACGTATCTCTGCGTGTTACTGACCCAAGCTTTTCAAGAAGCCACAGAGCTTCTGCGCGGCCTGTGGGACGTCCAGATGGAATTTGACGGAAAAGAAGGGAAGAGACTGGGGGCACACAGACACTGCCAATACTTTGTGTTCGGAGGCATCGCACCTCTGTCAGAGAAGGGGGGGAAAAAAAAAAACACAAAAAGCACATAAACCAAGGACCTGGCCAAACAGCTTGTTTGAGTAACTATATAAACACAGCCATTATTTCCAGGTGTGAGTCCAAGCTGACAGTGCCTCGGGTGACCAAAATGTAAACAGAACTCATGTGGGATGACGCTGCGTAATACTGCACCTTGTTGAGGCTCAGAACCTTGTAGATCTCCTGCAGGTTTTGCTGCGAGATGCGCTGGCTCTCTTCATCTGAGATGCAGCGGTCGCAGGACAGGCAGGCACTCAGCAACACCGGCTGCTTCGGGTCCTCTTCATTCGCCTACAGCGGAGTCGCGAAGAGGGAGAGACACAAATGGTCACCAACCGGAACAGACGTTAACATCAGGATAAAAATTTGTAAGCTTTGTAAATAATTTTATCCCACGTAATGTAACAACCCTGTAAAATCAAATGCTATGTGTGTTAAATGAGGAGAAACCCAAAAATGTGCAAGGCTCTGGCCCCCCAGGACTGGATGTGGGCACCCCTGCTGAATAGCAATATGAATGACAATCTACCACATACCTCGCCGGTGACCTCTGCTATTTCTGGAGGGGAATCTTGGTTTTCATTGCTCTGCTTCTTGCTGCACTGCCATTAATGATGTTATTGTTACTTAACAAAACTATACAGAGCAACATGTAAAGAGAAGTACTTGCATTTTTTCCAATGTATCTACATGACTGACCAAGAGGAGTTAAATATCTGTTAATCTGTTTTCCCAAACATTGCAAACTTAGTCAAATGGCTTGCTTTGATGTAAAGCACAGAGATCTTTGAGCAGTCAGAGCAGGAAATGCAAGTCTCACCTGTTTCGTGCAGTTCTCACACTTTTCCTTTCGCTTGCCAATTGCAACTTCTGACATGTTTCTCACATAACCTATCAAAACAGGTCGGCTATAATAGGTGCATGGTAGTCGTTTTAAGAACACCGTTTCAGTTTGGTATGAACCAAGGGGGACATGCCCCCTCCCCCATAATTAATTTGGCTTCATTCATCCTCCCAATAAACAGGTCGTTCTATATAAATTATAAAATTGTGTCCCCCTCTCCTACGCCACTGGTAAAAACCAAAGCCGGATGTCTGAGTTTTTAACTCAACCCCAAGGATGTCTCCATTTTTCGGCTAGACAGTTATCCGGGATGATAAACTGAAGGTCATTAAAACGTCTGTCGTGACGATTTAAAAGGGAAAATCCACTTCAGTTAACGGAGGTGTACGAGAAATAAATAAACCAATTATATGCAAAACAATAACAGGAAGAGCTAGGACGAAAAACTACCCATATCTTCCCTTCTGAATTAAACGGAGTCATATGATTATGAAAACAGAATAATTATTAGTTACAAATGGATACAAGTAGTTAGGCGACTCTACAAATTCACGGTCCTAAGTTAAGTAATGACCCAGAAATACTTATTTGGTCGACAACGAGGTGAGTATGAACTGGCACCAACTCAATAAAACACCGCTACTTATATTGAAAAAGTATTACTGAGGTTAAAATACCACTCCGTGAACAATGCTCTTCATTTCCAAGAACAAAATTTTGGTTTCTCAGTAGCTTATTTTATTATAGGCCAAAAAGAAAATGGTCTGTATGTCTTTGCCTCAGGTGACCCCTATGACAGCGCTATGCCGCATTGCGAGTAGAATAACACACGAAATAAACAGTGTTTTAATGAAATGAATAAAACACGACACTCACCAAGTTTAGTGGACGAAACACTTGTTTAACAATAGGAAAAAACGAAACGGTCACTGCTCTATTTGTCTGAAGGTGTGCATGAGGGAAAGCATCGGTTAGCTAGCTACGGGTACAACTCCTGACCGGTAATACGATTTTCCGCTTTGGTTTTCCGAAGGCTATCTCTACACCCGGGGCAGCGAAAAACTTATCCTACAGTGGGCCTACAGCACCCATCTAGGTCTGATACGGACTCTGGGCAGCAGTGCGCTACGGCACGACCAAGTCTCCGGTAACAGAAAGTCACACCGCCCGACTCCATTGTGCCCCGTTTCACCGGGCGCATGCGCAGACATAGCATTTCGGTCAGACTGGCGTTCTTTTGGGGGGTTTTTTGTTTTTAACTCTTTGTGTTCTTTTAGATCGCGAAAAAACAGTACATAATTAAAAGCAACTCGAGGCTTAAGCAATATGTTAAGTAACGTGAAGGGAAAATAAATCGACAACAACAGAATTACTCTGACAGAAAGAATTACTCTGACTTAAGCGCCTTGTTACAGCGTTTCAGATTTTAAAGCTATCTACGGGCACGCGCCGAGGAGGATGGGCTAACGATCGCCATTAGCCAATCAGAATGGCAAGTACTCGGGAAAGGAAGTAGAACCCGCCTGGTATGTTTTTCACGCTTCCCCATTTTCCCCAAGTCTCATAAAGAAATATTCTGACATCTGAATATTGTTCCGGATCTTTAAAAGGCAAGTTAAATGGTCAAAAATGTCGGTATGAACAATGTACAGACCTTCCGAGTATGGCTTGAAAAGGGCGATTATATATTTACTGGTCTTTATGTAGATCTTACTCAGAAATTGCAAGTGTATTATTAATAAGTTCAATTTTACTAATTAGCTGGAAGGTAAGGAGGTAGCTTCACGTGGCCTTTACCAAGTATTACTTTGCAAATATTGATCATAATATACATATCCATATTCGGTATATTAGACTCATCCGCAAGCTATCATATCCGTTATAAAAGTCGCGGAGAAGACAGAAAGATAACGGCAGAGGTAACTTTCATCAGGGGAAATCGAAAGGGTACATCACACCCTATATTTACTCTGCTTTCCACACCTAAATCATTAGGTACTGAAAATATCGTACAGGTTGTTTGCGTTAGAGATTATTTCATGTTTATATAACTCAGTAATGAATACATATATTTTCTATGTTTCCTATAGATGGGGTATATGACAGTGAAAACGCATACAGCCTCTCTGTTACATCTTACAAGGTCCCCCGGAATTCGCTCGTGGTCATTGCTCGTTGGTACGTTGCCTTTCATTGCCATTCCATTGACTCTGTCTTTAGGCGATACATCCATTCATTTTACAGGAAGGTGGTGCAGATATATCCTGTTCTTGTTTTCTTGTATTTCCAGGTATAGCCTCGGTTGGTTTGGCAGCAGCTTACTACAGCTCAGGTGAAAGCATGTTTGTCAAACAAACGTGCAGTCTTCTCGAAAGTCTGCGTATTTGCAATGTGCTACAGAATGCTTTAATAACAAACCAAAAATGTGATGTGCTATTTCAATTGCCTCTTTGACTTTCAGATAGCATATTATGGAAGCTGTTCTATGTGGTAGGCTGTTTCTTTGTGGCTCTCCAGAACATGGAAGATTGGGAGGTAGGAGACTGCGTCACACGTGAACTTGTCTGATAATCAGTAACCAAAAGTATTTGCAGTAAAATTTGACAAACAGATGTGGTACTGTCTTTTCCCCCTGTGGATTCATGTGTTGATTTTCTTATGGTTTTAGGAAGCTTTGTTCGACAAATCCAGTGGGCAGATAGAGCTGAAGTCGTTTAGTTTATATGCCAGAATTTTGACCCTTTGGAAGAAAGGTCGGGAGAGAGGTGAGCACCACTTCCATCTGAGTGTCTGCCTACCGTACCCAACGAGGCACAGCTCTGACCTGTTAGTCAGGTGCTTGTTGTCATATGCCCAAGAACAGAGCGGAACCTAAAGGTTTTTGTATCTCCTCCTTCCTCCATTCTTCCTACAGTGGTGCTGCCCTTGCGATACCTGCGGGATGTCACCGTTGAGGAGGAGAAGGTTCGCTACCTAGGAAAAGGTTACCTTGTGGTGCTACGCCTGGCTACAGGCATCTCACACCCACTCACGCAGAGTGCCACTCTGGGTGGATGCAGGTATGGACCTTCTGGAGGTGTTTCTGGGTGATTATAATTTGGGCTTTGCCCGGGTGTACCCAGGTACTGCCAAGAATGTGCCTATGTGTACACAGGCGTACTCAGTATTCAAACTGCACCAAGCTATACATGCCAAATTAATTTAATTCTGTTGAAGGTAACAAAGTAGTGATTGATAAGAATAATTTAACTCAGCTTAATCAATTGACTTTTTTCAATTCTTTACGTACTTGATTTGATAGAGGATACACACACCTGTTTCCACCTGAAATTTAGTTCACATAAATAACATAAGGTACATTTGCATTTAGTTACTTAGCAGACTAAAGTGACATATAGTGGAGAAAGCAGGTACTATAGGTCATTTCTAAATGAACAAAATTCTAAATAAATTGAACACAAACAACCCATTAATTGTTGCAAGTATGTTATTAAGCTTTAAAAACCCACTTAGGAGGAAGCTGTGATATGAAGTTAAAAGGCTTTCCATATATCATTTCTGAAGTGATGTAGATGCGGTGGCCAAGCTGCTGAAACGGTTTTTGGGACTTGAAGAGCCTAAACGATTTCAACATGAAGATGATGATGGAGCAATGGATGACGCTGATGATTACAGCAGCGACTCGGATGATGATGAGGACCACTGACCTGTCTGTGATGCTCCACAGTTACATTGTGGGAAATTTTGACGTCCAGTACGTAGATCAAAAACCATGAACTTTATTTACTCCATTGAACAACTCCCTACAGTTCTTCAATATATACAGCACGTATTTAAAATTTTTAAATTGTTGCTGAAATGTATGGTTTATTTGCATATACTCCGTGCAGGAAATTAAGATGCATGACTTGATACAACTATCAATTATAGTGATAGTTGACCAGATGGTTTCTGATCTTTACGTTACATGTTCATCAGTCAACTGCATGTGTCTCCAATATGTGGAATTGCCTTCTACTGCTAAAGCAACCCATTGGCCTTGGACCAGTTGCATGGGTCTAACTTCAGTACCTCAGGATGAGCAACTTTCCATTATGCACTAAAAGACCAGAAGTGCAAGCATTTAATACATGCAGGCATCAAAAAACGTGTTCACCGCTGCTTGCACAACGCCACGGCTGGGAAACTTGTTACAATACGGACCTCCGATGCCTACTCTAACTGAACATAATGCATCTTTTTGGAAAACGAATGAAAGCACAGTTTTGTGTTTTTTTTCTAATGCAATGCTCAACGCTTTCTAATGTCAGAAATAAAAAAGTGATCAGTAGGGTTTGGGTAAAATTTAATATGTAAGATGGGTATGTTTCTATCTCTGCGATCAGTTAGACATACAATCAAGTGCAGTTAGAACCTTAACAACAGCGAGGTTAATGTTTTGGCTGTAAATATTGGTTATAATTTCAGACTGCTAGAAACAGAACTTTGTTGGTTAAAAAGCTATAACCAACTTTGTTGGTTAAAAAGCTATAGCCTGAAGTGTTAGCCTTTTATTCAAATCAATATTTCACACAATAATTTTACAGCTAAAGCACCAGAATCCTTGGGTTTTCCACCATAAGTACTGTGGCTAAACTGCTAGGCTAACAACTGCCCATATGCATATATACATGTTATATGTATTCTCACATATAATAGCTAAAGCTTGAACCACAGAGCACAGGATATTAATATCCTTAATTCCTTAATTTTTAACTCCTAAAAATCACATGGGGTGAGGCGATAGTATTCTGTGCCTCTAATGAGGTCAATGCTCAGTGGTCCCTGTCATTCTCCATCTCTGGCCTCCTGGCCAACTGGGGGCAGGCGAGTGTGATCCGGAAGCATCTCCTGGATAATGGCTTGCGTGTCTTGCAGCAGACTGCGGATAGGCTCCAGCAGCACGCTAACATGCTGCTGGACCCACTCCTCTGCAGTGGCTTCTGGGAATAGCTGTGTCATCTCCATCCACAAAGCCTGGACCTTCTGCTCTACACTTGCCAGCAAGCTAATGGAAGGGAGGAGAATGAGTGTTAACATAATATCACCATAATTCCTTAATAACATTGTGTGTACATTCACGGGGACATGGGGAATTCATATTGCAGGAAACTGTAGTTCGGTATTTTGGCATTATGTACTATGGTTCTGCAGATCACGAAAGTGGACACGCTGGTGTTTTTCTTGCAAGAAGTTGAGCGTAAAATATGGTACAAAGGCAAGCTGAAATTTCAGTTAATAAGAATTTTCGTTAAATGTTCAGTTTCCTTGTAGCTGTTCAAAATAGGTAGTTTATTCGCATCACACTCATAGCTAAAAATAGCTACATTTATTTCAGTGTTCACAGTTTTCCATTAAAAGTAGTATAAGCCTCTGTATTGTGACTTAAGTGTGTATTTTATAAATGTAAATCTCTTACTGCTTAATTCTTTCCCATGGTTTAAATCTGTTTTTGAATTCTTGTTTATTAGAAAATAATAAAGGGTTAAACAAAGTGTGTTGGGATAGATCAGGGAGTAACACCAAAGCCTATGGCAGGGTGGGCGACCCCGGTGCTGGAGTGCAGGTATCCAGCAGGTTTCCCATCATACCCCATGAGATCAGGTGTGGTCTATCCGAGACCAGTGGCCTGTACTACCAAGCGGGGTTACTGGCTTATCGGGGTAACTTGTCGGATTAAAGGTACCACAGTTTAAACGGACTTCATATTCGTTCACTTACATTTTGCCCAGACTACCTTAAATCCGACAAGTTACCCCGATAAGCCAGTAACCCCGCTTCGTAGTACAGGCCACAGGCAGGATGGAAAACCTGCGGGATACTGGCACTTCAGGAGCAGGGCTGCCTACCCCTGCCCTATGGCATATTTGTCATGGGCATTGCTGTGCCAAAACTTTTAACACTATAATAAATAGTGCTATTATGAATGGCTAAATAACTGGAAGACTGTGGTCCACACCCCGACTGCACTGATTACAGTGTACTGCCGCACCCATCACACAACAAACCACCTCAGGGATGAGAACCTGAGTGCAGCCATGTGGTGGATGATACCTCAGCACCACACTAGTCTGAATGGACCAGTGTGAGGTTTTTCCGGGGGCAGGAATGCCAGTCCTGCCACCAACCCCCAAGTTTTTCCCTGTAAGTTGGAGGACCTCCTTATAGGGCTGGATGTAGAACATCATACCCAGGATGAAGCAACAGCAGGTTAAGGGCCTTGCCAAGGGCCCAACAGAGTAGAATCACTCTGGGCATTCACGGGATTTGAACCAGCAACCTTCCAGCTTCTGGCACAGATTCCTAGCCTCAGAGCCACCACTCCTTCCCATGGACCCAGACTGAAATACAATTTCATCTGAGCCATGAGCTTGATCCCAACCCCTGCCGTTCAGCATAATGTTATCGGAAGCAGTGGACCTTGGCTTTGTGGTGCGAATGGAATGTGGTCCATGGGGAATAGTTGAGGACCCCTGGTTTAGAACAACACAAGCCAGAGTAAGTGATGATGATAAGTTGAAGCTGACTTACAGCGTGGCCTGCTGTTGTATTTGCTGAACTATAAGCGGGTTAGCCAGTCTCCTCTGCTTGTGGTAGGGAGTGAACCAGCCCTTCACAAACCTGCAGCAGAATCAAAGAAAACAGACAGTCCCTATTACTGGCACGACAGAAGCAGAGGTGGACATTTCAGGTCCAGAAAGTAAAAAATCCAAACCAGGATTTTGTTTCAACCAACCAGCTGAGTACTATATGGCTGTGAATCTTTATACTCAGCAGGTTGGTTGAAACAAAATCCTGGTCTGGATTTTTACTTTCCGGACCTGAAATGTCCACCTCTGGACAGAAGCACATGGCTCTGTAATATCTTTCTGTCCTGGTGTGAAGGCCCCGTCGCCATTTACTGTAACTCACTAAGGCACACTCTTAGGGGGCAGGCCGGCGCAACCCACATGTTATTTGCCGGGAAACGCAGCTCCTCCGACTGCAGCAATGCGGTGAGCTCCACCACCAGCCCCGCCAACTTGAATCCCGGGTATGTGGGCGTGCCGCCCGGGGGAGAGCTGCGGCGAGGAGAGGAAAATGCCAGAGCCATCTTACTGCCCCCGACTGACCGGGTCACTGATACCACAGTGGATTAACACTGGAATGCGACGTTAAATATTTGCATGTCGTTTGTATAGCTCGATATGCTTATCTAGAGCAAAACTCTACCAGAACAAAAACAGGCATACAGGCAGTGCCCTTGTTTCAAATTCCATGCTGTACAATAAACTATGATATTATACATCATGTCATAGTTTAGAAATCCCCGTACGTTAAGCTGGCTGCCAAATTTAAGTAGGTGGGGAAGAAACGCTGTACCTTGTTATGAGTGTCACCTCGGTGGTAGTGATGCCCAAGGTTTCCGTCGCGCTGCTCTGGGCCTCCTTGCCAAAGCTGCCTGAAGCACACATTCTTAGCTAATCTGTCCGTCGGTCATCGTGAAAGGAATGAGTTGTCTGTCGGACTGTATGAGGAGGGCAGCGGAGCTAGTGACTGACCGTGGCGCAGGGTTTGAAGGCAGGCAGCGAGAGAGGGCAGCCCCACTGGTAGCAGCTCGCACAAGACAGACAAGTGGTCATACCTGTGAAAGGCGAAGAGGCACTTAGCACGCAGCTTCTATCCCGTTCCCCTCACAGTGCCTACCTCTACATGCAGGCCAACTGCCCTGTTCCATTCTAGTTTGCCGTTTAAGAAATATCATTGCTCTAAATATGCAAAGTCCAACTAGATATTTGGCCTGCAACAGCCCTCTACTCAAGAAGTGTGAGATCATGGCACAGTAGCTCATCATTACATCATGGACCTGCAATGCTGACTGGTCAGGTGACTCTCACCTCTGCCAGCCGGTGATGGCGATGCCCTGCAGTTCTATCCCGCCGGGCAGTGCCGCTGTCACCTTCAGCCATTGCAGGTGGTTATCCACGTGCCTCTGCGTGCAGGTCAGGCAGGTGCTCACCTCGGTGGAGCCTTTGAAGGAGCTCGCAGCCCACACCTGAGACAGACCCGCACTCCCGTACTTTTCCAAGAGACGGACTGAATCGTGCAGGAGGGAGAAACGTAAAGCGAACAGGAACACCGTCGGTTTCCAGAATCTGCAGATGAAATATTTGCATGACTTGTGAGCTGTGGAGCTTTTTCTGCCCAGTCTGCTCTGCTACTACCTGTGTTTTCAGCATCAAGGAAGGGGCTGTAGTCCCATAGCATCAACTGCACAACTCCAACAAGACCACTGTCTGTGAAGGAAAAATATAAAATAAAAATATTTGTCAAAACATCCCATCGTCGCTGTCCAATGAAAATCGTATATGTCCACTTTTTGATGATTGTGACTTTTTACTGTAGATGATATACACCCATCTCCTCTGTCTACTGATAGCGTTTGATGTCTAACTGATCAATGAAAAGATGTTTTATGAAGTCAACTATTCCACTAGTATTTATGTTCTAGTTAACATTTGTATTCTTACTGGTTGTTTGTATGGACTACTTTATATTGCTATTTTTAACAATTTAATGTTGATAACTAGATAGCTGGGCTAACCAACATCATTGTTTATTTTGAATATACATCGAGATTAATTTGGATCTTGTTGACACTGGCATATTTGCCTCGCTGATAATCACCACAGGTCCATTTAAAACATTAAACCGTTCACTGATGGCTGTGTAAAGAAAGATTTCTGTTTGTGGTGCTAAGAAAGTCTCGTTAAGTTGTTTTAGGTTTATTTTGTAAAGTAGTTTCTTAGAAAATGCTTTTTTTTCCCCCACACTCCTGAAATAATGGAATTTTGGAGATACACGTTTTTCATTGGACAGTGATGATATGCATTCTAAAGCCACCTATGCTTAATACTAAGTGGCCTCCATGAAAAAGACCCATGAATCATTACCTTTCAGGATATCGTGGCTCATACCCCTCAGCATGTCATCCCACATGATCAGCTTGAGCTGGGGCCAGGTCGCATGTATGTTCTTAACCACTTCTGTCACATGACCAAGGAACAAGCCGTGTGTGTCACGACCTGGAACGCTAAGCCACTGCTTTGACCCTTCCCCTTGGCCGAGGAGGTAGACCTGAAAAACATTACATTATTTTCCGCTTTATTCTAGTCTATAGCATAGTATTTAGCAACACCTTCCATTTGGCTATCCATTTTCAAAGCAGTAACAGCACCAGAGAAATTCACACCAATAACACACAGTGTAATAATAAAAAAGAACATAGAACAAAGTATACAACTGTACTAATAAACTGCATACATAGCTA